TATATATATATATATCTGTGTATGTGTGTGTGTGTGTGTGTGTGTGTGTGTGTGTGTGTTTATATACGTATATATACATATATATTCTTATGCACACACAAACACACACACACACACACACACACACACACACACATATATATATATATATATATATATATATATATATATATATATATATATATATATATATATATATATATATATACATATATATATATATATATATATATATATATATATATATATATACATATATATATATATATATATATATATATATATATATATATATATATATATATATATATATATATATATATATATATACAGCCAATCATTTCAGCAAATGCCTTCTTAACGCCAAAACTCCGAAAGCCTGAAAAAATGCAACAATTATTGTAATACATAAAAAAGGGGATAGAAAGGATCTAAGAGACTACCGATCGATGAGCCTCCTTTCAGTTATTTACAAATTGTTCACAAAAGTCATCACAACTCGAATTTCCGACTATAGATTCTAACCAGCCCGGGGAACATTGGATTGTCAACAATAGATCAATAACCCAACAGAGAGAAAATAAATAGATATATGAAACCCTTCTGTAATCGTCGATTTCTAAAAGGCATTTGACTCTGAACAAATAGCAGGGGTATTAGATGCTATTTGAAGACAAAGAGTAGAGGAAGTCTTTTATAAAATCATGGAAGATATACACGAAGATAGAGCAGCAACCGTCAAGCTACAGAAATCGATAAATACTATTTAGAAAAGGTGTTGGATATATATGTGTGTGTGTGTGTGTGTGTGTGTGTGTGTGTGTGTGTGTGTGTGTGTGTGTGTGTGTGTGTGTGTGTGTGTGTGTGTGTGTATAACATAAGGAGGACCAATGGCAAAATGGCTTGACAAAATAACGAAAGACCGTTGTGCACTGTCGCTGGAGTCTCTTCCCCAGTAGCATGAGACAGCATGCGACAGATATATATAGACATATATATATATATATATATATATATATATATATATATATATATATATATATATATATATATATTACATATATATCAGGTGAGGTTGATGGGGTTCTAGTCCTGGATTGCCTTACCAGAAATATCAGCTTGGTGCCCGACGCTTCACTTGACCAACCACCGTTATGTATTTCAGTCCGTGTATGGTCAAAGACTATAGGAGTTTACCCACCTTGTGGCATCTGCGAGATGAAAAGGCTTCGAGAGTCATCCCCAAGGAAAAAATCCGGAGCCGGAGTCCCGATGGCAGTTCGTTGTCGCTTGCGTCCTTGTTCTGGCGCGTGTGTGTGTGTGTGTTTGTGTACATGTAGACAAAGAGATGCATGTATGTGCATAGGAAACAAAGAACCAATAACCATACGAAGGAACGGCGAGGCAATAAAGAGCAGCGCCGGCGGAATCTTGGCCTAAAAAGCTCTCAGCAGGGATTGGCGTCTCACCCCCCCCCCCCCCCACGACCTCTTGCCTTGTAATGCAATCGGAATGTCTGAAGCACATAGCCGTTATAAACCTTTTTTTCTAACATCTTTTCTCTGTACAGTTTTTGCTGCTGTCGTACACATTATTGGTCTTCATATTGCCATCGGTTTGAACGCGATTATTACCAATAACTATATTATCATTAAAGTACAATTAGCATAACCCCTGCCATGATCCTTCACATCATCACATCCACCAAGGCCCCTGCAGTCCGGTTCACAAGCTCGAACACAGAAGAGTGTTCGAGACAGTGACGCTTGAAATAATTTTGGATTATATTCGCATTTCATATCAAAGAATGATACGAAAGCACAGGTCGGCCTTGGTTGCAATTTTTTATGAGGTATGTCACTATTTTCGACTTACAATTTATAAGGCTCAAAGAACGAACTGAAGTAGAACTAATGTTATACATCTTATCATTATTATTACTATCATTATTGTTATTATTATAATTATCATTATCATTATCATTACCATTATTAGTATTATTATTATTATTGTTGTTGTTGTTGTTATTACTATTATTATTGTTATTATTATTATTATTATTATTATTATTATTATTATCATTATTATTATTATTATTATTATTATTATTATTAATATTATTAGTATTATCATTATTATTACTATTTTTTCTGTTATTATGATTATGATTACTATTAACATTATCACTATTAGTAGTATTATTGTTATAATTATTATCATTATTACTATCATTATTTTTAATTATCATTATTATCATTATCATTGTTCTTATGATTACAATTACAACTAACATTATCATTATTATTATTACCATTATCATTACCATCAGTATCATCATTGCCATTAATCATTATTACCATAATCATTGTCATTAATTATTATTACCATCATAATCACTATCATCATCATTATTATTATCTTTATCCTTATCCTTAAAATTACCATTATCATCATTATCTCTGGTATTATCCTTGTCAGCTTCATGAGTTTTGTCATCACTTTCTTCATCCTAGTATCACCACCAATAGCCTTTGGTCTCCGTTAATCTCACCTTTCTTTCTTGACTTACATTTTACAGAAAATGTTTTTAATTCCGTCAAATACTTCATAGTGATTTTTTCAGAGCTCCCGTAACGACTGAGCGCCTTGCCCTTCGTCACACTTCATCAGACCGGAAAAAAGGAAGGATCGTTCTGTATTCCTCACACTCTTTTGTGCACACGAGCTGAGCGTGATTTTCGTTCTTTCGTAATAAAAAACGGAGTAAGTTTTACAGGTTTTAGTCTTTACAAGATCTGAACACTTATCGACGATTAATTAAAAGTTATTACACTCCTTTTATTTCCATTTTAGTTTTTTGCAGATTATTTTTATCGCACCGACGCTGAGGAGGAGTTAAGGGGAGTCAGCCGGTTGCAGGGCACGGCGCCAGTCACCAAGAATCAGTGGAACACTCTCCTGTGTGTGTGTGTGTGTGTGTGTGGGCGTACGACATCCGTCATTTTTCACAGCATTGACATCAGTGATTAAGCATCCGTACCAGCCTACTGTTTTCCGTGGATTCGTATTCAGTCTCGGCTGAGCCTCACGGCTGATCCCTTCCCCCCTGCCGCCCTCTCTGCTCTTCTCTCCTGACTGCTTCGTTCCTCCCCAGGTGCTCTGTGTCACCCCTCCCCACCCTCAGCCCCTCCTGCTCATCAGCCCGCGGGCGGCGATGGGCAATTGCACCGTCGGGTCCTCCGATGCAACACTCCAACCCCAAAGCTTGCAATGCGAGCATTTGCACTCGCCACAGGAGTTTTGCAGCATGAGAACGTGTATTGTGGCGCGTTTGTAGCTGCATTTGCAACGCTCTCCAGGCATGGGAGATGCAGCTCAGGTGTCCCTCATTACCGGCGCGGGATAATGGTGACTGCAATTACGGCAGGAGATGGAACCTCCCTGAATCATGCATTAGCGAGCGGAGCTTTGGCAGCACGACGGCGGCCGCGCGGCCTTCGCGGGAGCAGCGCGGGCTTTGATGGCGGGAAGCCGTGGCGCCGGGGGGAGGCCGGCGCTGCTGGCGTTGCGAGTGACAGGATGCCTGGGGAGTTGGGGACTCCCGTGGCCATTCTGAAGGATACAGATGACTATTTTTGCGATGCTGGAGATGCGTGCGGGCGACAGGGACTGGCTGGCTGGTGAAGAGGCAAGCATTCTTCACGAGAATGTTCTGATATATTTGATATCAATTACATATTACCATGCCAATACCGACCAACAAATATTTTCGTATCAGATGATTTGTAAAATCAGATTTTACGAATCTATTCCGTAATCCTGTATTAATTAATTCGCATTAATTATTGCCAAGTAAACCCAATACAATTTTGAATAAATATTCTGACCTTTAATCAGCCAGGAATGCAATTACGCCGCGATGTATCGCTGCGGCTCCGACATTAATTACTTATTAACACTTTTTGGCGAAAACCGCTGCCAAGATATAGTAGCCAGGCTTTGATTGCCTGCGAGCAATCGCGCGCCTCGCCGCAGGAACAGGAAAGAATTAAAGTAAACCGCAGCTTCCGGGAAGAAGAGGGAAACGACGTTGCAATAAAGAACTTTCGTCTGGATTCAATCCTTTCGCGACCGCGGGCCGAGAGCGCTTAAGGTTTCCGCGCCATCAACAAGGATAGTCAGATAGCAGTAAAGATAATATTCATATACACAGAATGTAATTTCCAAACTATTGGTACTGTACACACCCTTTCACATTTCCGCAGAAGTAAGACATTTGATTTACTCTTGTTAGCCTGAAAATGACATTTCGAGAAACCCGATGACCTGATTCTTTTGCCGAGAGTAAATCCCATAAAAGTCCCTCATTAGGCAGAATAAGTCAACATAATTCTGTCCGTTTGGGGTCGACAGTCAGCAGTTAACGAGCAGGCTCTTCGGGCCATCCGAAGAAGCCGGCGATGAAGGGAAGGCTCAGCGATATCGAAAAACCATCAAGCGGCTGCCGCTTCTCCGGCGGCGACGGGGCCGCGGCCACCATTATTCTTTGTTATAATTACCATTGTGATAATTATGCTGGTCATGACTTTCTTTATTATTATCATTATTCTCATTATTCATTAGTATGCTTATCATTATACTAAGTGTCATGATTCATAAATCTCTTAATATTAATGCTAACATTATCCTCATCATCATTATTTTTGTTATCATTGTTGTCATTATTTATAATATAATCACCATTATTATTGTTATTATCATTATTGATATATCCATTATCATTATTATTATTATTATTAAAATCATTATCATAATTATAATAATAGTAATTATTATTATTATTATTATTATTATTATTATTATTATTATTATTATTATTATTATTACTATTATTATTATTATTATTATTATTGTTATTATTATTATCATTGTGTTATTCTCTCCAGTACTTTGATGTTCTTCTGGGTCCTCTTTGTCTTGCCTCAGCTACTTCCCGCAGTTTAGAAACATAGAACTTTCCGTAATATGTGAGCTGTTCCAAGGATGGCCGACAATTGTGCACTACCAACGATGTCAGGTATGGCTAACTTCCCATGCCAGGTTTTTGCGTTCTTTGAGATTGTTCCGAGTGCACCGATCACGATTGGTATCACTGTCACTTTCGATGCTCGATGGATTCTCTTAATTTCGAATGCTAGTTCTTGATATTTAGCCATTTTCTCTTCCTCAGTATTGATGATGTTCTGGTCCGCTGGTACTGCTATGTCAATTAGTGTCCACTCCTGTGTATCTTTCCGTAGTAGAATAATATCCGGTCGATTATGATTCAGCTTCTTATCTGTGTAAACAGTCATGTCCCAGGTAATTCGAACATCTCTGTTCTCTGCGACTGCCAATGGCTGATGGTCATACCACTTGTCGGTACATTCTATCCCGTACTTTCTGCAAATCTCCCATTATTATTATTATTACTATCATTATTATTATTGTTACTGTTTTTATTACTATTACTACTATTATCATTTATTGTTAATGTTATTGTTACTGTTATTGTTTTGTTATTGTTATTGTTATTATTATTATCATCCTTATTGTTATTATTGTTATTATAATTATACTTTTAGTTATCGTTATTCATATTATGAATATTATTATTATCATGCGAATACTAATATTTCTAATTATCATTATTACCATAATGATAATAATGATTACTATTATTATTACTATTATTGTTATTATTATTATCATTATCATTATTATTGTAATTATTGAAGTGATGGTGTGGTAGCCTAGATGGTGTTAAGTGCATGCACGAGGTGGCATTGCCAGCTCTCCTCTCCTCAGATAGTTCACCAGGAGTGTTTAAAATGAATGGATGTGCTGAGGGGAGGGGTGTTGTTCCTCCCAACCAGCAAGTGAGGCGGGCTGTGGGTCCTGTTGGGAGGGTAAATGTTGGGGTGCAGGATGAGAACGAGAGTTACTCGTCCTGCCTGCACCCTAGCAGGCACCAACCCAGTATAAGGCCTGTGGGGCAAATCCCAAGGGATCCCCACAGGCAGACATTGAGCCCCATAACAGAGGTGGTGTCCACCCGGCTTAACCTCAGGCAACAGCAGCATGATCAGTATGGATTGGTACATCTACTACTGGTCGGGCCAGGATGATCACCACTTCTAGAGAGTAGCCATAGCCATCTTCAGCCGACTTTAACCCTCGGTAGTGCTTTTGACTTTGTGTCTCTTATTGCTGTGTATGCTCCTACCAATGTTTGCAAACTCGATGTGAAAGGAGCATTCTATGTCAAACTCACATCTGTGGCAGACAATTGCCCCCAGCGAGACATTCACATTGTTCTGGGCGACTTCAATGCGGTATCCGGTATATATATACATATATGTAGCAGGCTACAAGATATCTGTCGGCCCATGGATTGGGAGCTGATCCCCGCAGTGAGAACAGCCTCCCTCTCTGAGACTTTGCTAGGTCCCAGAGAATGAGGATTTCTGGTTCCTGGTATCAGTGCTCCAACCCGCATCAACTGGACATGGTATAGTGATATATGTGGGTACTGTGGCCAAGTAGATTGAGCACAGTCTTGTTAGCACTCAGTGGAGGATCTTTCAAAATTACAGGGTTTACCGGAGTGCCGAGTACTGTGACACTGATCATAGGCTGGTAATGGCTACCCTTCAGGTCCATTTTAAAATTCTTTGTCCCTCCAGTGACCACTGTCACTTGGACAGACTGAGGGAGGAGGAGTGTACCCGTGGGTTCGCCACAGCAGTCTCTGATTGATTCACAGAAATTGAAAACCTAATGGACCCAGTTTCTCTGTAGGAGTCCTTCAACTGCAAAACACCCGAAGCAGTGCCATTAATATACATCCAAGGGCAAGGCAAAATTTCATCTCCCTGCAGACATTGGAGGCCACTGAAGTGTGTCGCATGGGTCACCTGAATTGTAATCAGGACTTGCATTGCTCTTTGGAGTGTAGGGCTCGGACACTGCTTACCGAGCCTGAGAAAGCTCTCTAAGCCCTCCTTGCAGATGACTGCAGTCCAATCAGTGGATGGACAGATCATCTCGCCCTGCCTACCAAGCCTGAGAAAGCTCTCTAAGCCCTCCTTGCAGATGACTGCAGTCCGCTCAGTGGATGGACAGATCATCTCAGACCATGTTGGGGTTCCTGATTTCCTGGTTGAGTATTTTAAGCCGCTATACCAGAGAGACTCTCCAACAGTTAGCTTGGATGCAAGTGGTATCACAATACCTGTGCTGGACCCACTCATGAGTGAGGAACCTACTACCCTTACTGAGGTTAGGATGGCAATTTCTAAACTGAAGAGTGGGAAAGCTGCAGGCATGTGTGATATCCCTGTTGAGCTACCAAAGGCTGGCTGTGAACCTATGCCACAGTGCTTGCATGCAGTCTTCTGGCAGTCTGGTTCCATTCCCCTGACCTGTTGAGGGTCGTTGTCATCCCTCTCTGGAAGGGAAAAGGGGATCGTTGGGACGGTAGCAACTACTGTGGCATTACACTGCTCAGTATACCAGACAAGGTTTTTGCCTGTGTTCTGAAACAAATCCACGACCACCTACTAAGGAACCAGAGACCGGAGCAGATCGGAGGATTGCTATGTGAGATTCTGAGACTAAGGGAAATTCCGACACGGATTATTGGCCTAATAGCAAGCCTATATACCGGTACTGAAAGTGTTGTAAAGTGTGGTGGGGACCTATCAAGTTTCCTTGTTAATTCAGGGGTGAGGCAAGGCTGTGTCTTTGCACACTTTTCAACACCTGCATGGACTTGATTATGGGCAGAACTACTATCCAAAATCAGTGCGGAGCAACACAGGGCAATATCAAGATGATATGAGGCAATGAGGCAAAGCCCTTGGGCCTAGAGGTCTCCTGGACCAAGATTCAGGACCTTGGTAGCATAGTCCATATCTCTGGGCTGTCAGACCAAGAAGTCAGTAGACAGTTTTTTTTTAAAGGTTAAAGGTTTAGTTTGATTCCATTTGTTACAATGGATATTCTTGATGTGACATAGTGTCTGTTTCATTTTGCTTCTAAGTTATCCCCTGTGTGCAAGGAATGGCCGGGGTTACCATCCACTGGCGGCGAGGGATTCGAGCGTAAGTCAGCAAGATTGCTAGACGAGATCGCTGCCGCTGCACCACACAGCACACGAATTGGTCTAGCAGCAGGAGCCATGAACTCAAGCAAGAAGATCATTTGGAGATGTCAGTACCTATGCAGAAGAATCAAGCTACATGTCTTCAAGACCTTGATACTGCCAGTTTTGTTCTCTGGAAGCTAAACTGGATGCTATCTAGTGTCTTGAAATCTCACCTTAATGCTTTTGTAACGAGTCTCTACACCGGATAATTTGGTACAGTTGATGATGAGGATGATTATTATTATTATGATTATTGAATTATCATTATTTTTACTATTGTTATTATTATTATCGCTATTATTGTTATTGTTATTATTATTATTATCATTACTAACATTATTATCATCTTTACCATTATTTTTTATTATTGTAATTTTCATTATTTTAGTATCATCCTTACTACTATCATTATTACTATTATAATGATTATTAATATTATTATTATTATTATTATCATCATCATCATTATTACTATTATTATTATTATTATTACTATTATCACTAGAATTATCATGATTATTATTAACATTATGATTATTATTACCATTACTATTATTATTGCTATTATACTACTCATGCTAATAATAATGATAATGATAATAATAATCATTATTATGATTATTATTATTATTATTGTTATTACTACTATTATTATTATTATTATTATTATTATTATTATTAACATTATTAACATTATTATCATTATCATCGTTATTACTATTACTGTTATTCTTATTGTTAGTAATGGGAGTAGTAGTAGTAGTAGTAGTAGTAGTATCATTATTATTATTATTGCTATTATTATTATTATTATCATCATCATTATTATTATCATTATTATTACTGTTATTATTGCTATCATCATTATCATCATTATTTTCTTAATTAATATCATTATCATAACTATTATTATTATTATTATTATTATTATTATTATTATTATTACTATTATCATTGTTGTTATTATTACTATTATTATTACTATATTTTTATTATCATTATTTTTATTATTATTATAATTATTATTATTATTGTTATTAATATTATAGTTGTTATTGTTATCATCATTATTATTATCAATATTAATATCATTATCATTATCTTTATTGTTATCATTGTTGTTGTGTTGTTATTATTTTTTATATCATCATTACTATCATTATAACTAATATTAACACTAACATTATTATCTTTATTGTTATCATTATTATTATTATTATTGTTGTTGTTTTGTTGTTGTTGTTTCATTGTCATTATTATCATTATAATTATTATTATTATCATCATTATCATAACTATTTTTGTTGTTATTATCATTATTATTATTATCATCATCAGTGTTACTATTGTTATAATCTTTATCATTGTCATTTGAATTATTGTTGTTCTAGCTACTATTACTATTGCTATTATTGTCATCGTTGGCATAATTCATAGTATTATTGTTGTATTTATTTATTCCTATTCTTTTCGTCATTACAATTGTTTTTATCAAAATTACATCACACCTTTATAATTATCGTTAATCCTATCCTCTTTATTATCATCACATGAATATCTTTATCATTCTTCATATCATTGATGTTATTATAACATTATTATCATTATAACTATGATTATGAATTTTATTTCTATTATCATTATCATTATCATTCTTTTTATTATCATAATCATTATTATTATCATCAATATTATCATCATCATTATTCTATTATTATTATCATCATTATAATCATCATCATCATCATCAATCATCATAATTATTATTATGATGATGATGACGATGATGATGATGATCATTATCATGATCATTATCATTATTATTATTATTATTATTATTATCATTATTATTATTATTATTATTACCATTACTACTATTATTATCATTATCATTATCATTATCATTATCGTTATCGTTATCGTTATCGTTATCGTTATCGTTATTGTTATTGTTATTGTTATTGTTATTGTTATTGTTATTGTTATTGTATTATTATTATTATTATTATTATTATTATTATTATTATTATTATTATTATTATTATTATTATTATCTTTTTTTAATACTATTATTGTTATCATTATTATTATTATTGCTGTCGTTGTTATTATTTTCATTATTATCTTCATCATTATTGTTTTTATTACTATTGTTGTTGTCACTAT